ACTTATTTATCTTTATATAATATCTAATTATCATTTGTTAACGCTTAATTGGATTTGCTAAATATTCATCTAAGAGGAACTACTATTGAAGTGAATATTCCTTGCACTATACAGGCAGTTTCATGAATATTCCCTATCCGTAACTTGAAAAATACAATTACAATAATTCCGAATAGTTCAGGTCTTAATATCGTTCTTCCAACTTCAGTTCCAGCGAAAATACTTTTTCAAACGGACCTTTAATTATTAGAAAACACCGTCATCCTTTGAATCAGCGCGTTGGTTATTCTGTTTAAACTCTTGGTCATCCAAATTTTGAAAAGCTTGCATTCATTTGCATCATATTATTTGTATGTAATTCTATGTAGACAATTGCTATTTATTGTTGATCCGGTTTTTGGTAAATTTAAATTTAAAATCGTATAAGTTAATTTATGTTTTTATAATGCACATTCTATAGAACAGTAAAACCTCAAGTAGTAAATAAATTTCGATAAACAGTTTACAATTTGCAACTTTAGTAATTATTTTTCCAATATTCCTTGTCAGTCCTTACATACAGTTGCTGTGTAAACAGTAGGCCAAGCAATAGACTGATTGTCCATGACATAAATTCTATCGGAAAACCAGATACACCATCACGTGCAGGGCAGTCCGTACTTTATTCCCGGTATGTTTTGGGCAGCCAAATCTCATTTGTTAATTTTTTTTTTTAATTTTCAACAAAAAATAGCATTTATTTTAGTTTCTTGCTTGTCAAATCGACACGATTGAACCAATCTTAATGGTGTAAATAGTTGAATTGTAGAGCATGGAATTACGAAGAGAATGAGATGTCGATCTACTTGATTAGATAATTCGAACCTGAAAACTGTACGTTTTCTTAAGAAACTCAAAACTTGGCTATTTTTTTTAATTAAGAGTTTAAATTTTCCACAAGAGTAGTTATTATATATACTTCATGTGTCCAGATTGTCCTGCGCCTGAGAATGTCCGATTGGAATTTAAAACATGGATTTGGAAACTATACAAGAGTAGCAACAAAACAAACATATAATCCAGTTTTTCTATAAACTGCGGTTAAGTGGGTGAAACAGAGTCTTGAATATGATTGATAACGGCCGAGCGCACCAAAGCGGTCGAGTGGTGGGGGTCGCTGCTGGTTGACGGGAAAAGTATACCTGCGCGCAATTTATAATTCTTCGTATTTAATTATTTCGGTATCTCCCACATAGCAAAATGATATTCCCAGAATATACCTGGAATATTCATGTGATGTACATGCATATTCCTGGGACATACATGAGTTCCATTATGAACATTCCATGGGTTAATACACTGAATGTTCATGGTATGTTCTGGAAATGTACATGGTATGTTCAGTGAATATACATGTGTATTTTCTGCGAATGTACATGGTATGTTCAGTGAATGTACATGTGTATGTTCAGTGAATGTATATGGTATGTTCAGGGAATATACATACATATATGTAACGAAAGAAAAACGATACTTTATTTCATCTTATTAGTTTATTCACATATTTGAGTACTTACTGATGTAATTTTTCAACAACAAAAGTTATTTACAACTAATCAAAAACTAATTAAATGGATAATAAATAAATTAAAATATAACTTATAACTACGGACTAAAAATCTAAATTAACATTTTCAGCATATTTGCCGTTGTCGCAATGATGTGTGACTGTGAGATAAAACACAAACCTTTATCTAAAAAACTGTACTTATTATTTTATATACATGTTCCCGCTTTGTGGCTTTTGCCCTTTCATTTTGTTCTCGATCAATTAAAGTGTTTCGCAATATTCTCTTAACAAAAATTCTATAAGCAATTACAAATTTTAATATTGGTCACAACAACAAAATACAGTTAATAGTTTTACATTGATAGAAGAGTATTTTCGTTCATCCACAGATTA